GACGTGTGCTCTTCCGATCTCCCCAAAACCCCAAAACCCCAAAACCCCAAATGACATAAATCATCTGAAAGCTGGGTAGTTAGAATTGCTTCCTCAATATACAAATATATTAATTTACTGATTTGAATGAATATTTCTTATGTTAAGATGTGCTGTTTTATTTGTCATATTAAGTTAAAGGCAATCCATTTTCTAAGGTTAGTGCAATAACGCACTTGCTCTTGCTGCTTCATTCAAATCCCACATCGTGCTCTACTGCGTTTATTCTAGTTGCAAGCAGCACATTGCTCTATTCGATCTTCATCTTCTCGTTCACTAACTGACCAACTTGCTGCTTGAGGAAGGCAATTTCATTGATGTCCATAGCTTAAAGTTTACGGAAATCTTTCTCTAGATTGGCGATATCCTCCATGATCTCCTTCAAAGTGTCGTTGTTAGTCTCAGTGGCCTTGTGCTCAAAAGTGGCTAGATCGCTTCTCAACAACTAAGACTCCTTTTTGTTATCATTCAAACTCCTGTTAAAGTCTTGTATGCTGTCCTATTTATCAAGTTAAGTATTTAATTTTCATATGTTTTTATAATGCCATTGGCATTTATTGTTGAAGAGCTAGCACTTATCAAAGATCGTTTGGAGTGTATCACTTACCTAGATAGACTTGATTCTGGGTTTGATGGCGATTTATGAAGCGTTGAAGTCCTGGTTCTAGGTTGCTCGACCAATGCTGCCACTTGTCTCTGAAACAATTATGAATAAGTCGAAGTTGCAAGAGATATATTGGTGTTTGGTGATAATAATTCTTACCTCTTCCAGATCTCATTTTTATTTGTAGAATAAATATAAATAATTATAGAAAGATTAAAATAAAAGGTTTAAATAAAGTTATGTTTGATGAGAGCAAGCCCCTCAGTTAACTTCAAACTCATACTTCACTGAAGTTTGCCGATTGATGTGTTTAATGGTCTAAAGTCATCTACAGCGGATCCACTTCTTAGTTCGTAATTTTAGATATCTTTCCAGAGATGTCTGGCGACTTGTCTGAATGGATCCTTGACCTCATCGTAGCTCTGCCCATCAGCTAGAATTATGTCTCTTGTTTTGACTGCACTGCGGTCTATTCTTTCGAAAGAGAGTGCATCCTTGATGAAGTACTCCCACTTTCTGATGTAATCGAATCTAGTCTCTGGCTTTACGTACCACTCAGCAAGAGTGTCACAGATCTTACCGTACCAGGCTTCGCCTCCAATAAGCTCAGGGTAGATATTGTTGTCAGCGATGATATTCATCTGATTCCACCATTGATTGTACAAGTCACTGAACCATTGATGATGCATTCTCATCTTGACCAAAATCATCATTGGCAAGTGGCAAACTGTAGCAGCTCCAATCATCTAACCATCATAGGACAAGCCGAAGTCTGAAGCAGCCATAGCATCAATATGCTCGTTGTTGTCATTTGAGACAAGGATGACTCTGCCAAACCATTGCTTCTCAGCCAAGAATTCTTTTACGTATTACTCAGCATCAGTTCCTTTCTGTAGACTGATGACAGTCACATAGTTCTCAACGGGTGGGGCCTTTGGTGACAATGAAGTTGGGGAGGAGTACTTGAGGATGAATTCCTTGATACCTTTACGGACATTCTCAACACAGAACTCAGCTTCTGACTTCTCATTACCTGGAGAGAAAAAGACGACAGTGGCATTCTTGTCAATGCCGTGCTTTTATCTGAAATTGTCTCTGACCTTCTCAATACCCTTCTCCAAGTCAGCGGCGAAGAATTTCTAATTGATCATAAGAGTTTCCTCCTTAAGAAGAGGTTGAAGCTCCTTGTTTTATTGATAGATGTGTCTGATTGCTTCATAGACTAAGTATTGGCCAACGTATTCACCGGGGAATTTGAAGCCATCAGAAGTTGGATTTACAATAGGGATTTAATGGTGAACAAAGTCAAAGTACTTAAGAGCCCATTATTTGTAGTCCTTAATGAATTTATTGTGGAAATGTCTTTGTGGAAGATCATTGGCACTGTTCTGATAGTATGCTATATTAAGACTTTAAAACAAGGAATCGCATACTTTTCAATTATTCCATAACTTGGAAAGTCAGGTATTCATTGTCAATGTTAATGACAACACTTGGTCTGGCTTGATAAACTCTCTTGGCTACATCGAATTTCTTGAACTATCAGACAATATTGATTAAAGATTATAGTAGCTTACGTTCTCAAGTATATTGTCTTGTCTGAGCACGAAATGCTTGTTTATCAAGTTAACGAAGTTGTACTTGGTGGAGTATTGCACCTCGCTGTAGGTCTTTGTCTTTCTGAATGTAGTGAATTCCTTGCCCATGAAGTCATCTAACTCAACTTGTATTTCACCAGCTAATCCTTCAGACCTCATGAAATCACTATATTGGTATTTAGTATCTTCTTAAAATTAGTACGCAAAACATTTATGATCTTTAAATAATCATAGACTCTCCTGAATTAGAATGAAATTTCAACTTACCCTCCATAACCAAAGAAGTTAAAGTCCTGGACTCCTGAGACTGCCTTAAGATTTTGCATGATCTTCTGGCCAACGATATCGCCTGATCTGGAGTTGGCTAGAATGGCAACGGTCTTGTTGATGTTTTAGCCATTTGAAGAGGAGAAATTCTTCTTTAGTTGTGTACCCAACATCTTTATATTATTAATTATTATAATCTTCTTTATAATCACTCTATAATTGCTCTAGGGGTTTTGGGGTTTTGGGGTTTTGGGGTTTTGGGG